AATAGTTTCTTTGCAGAGATTTCAGGCAATGGGTTTGTTCCCAGGCTTTGGCTTTATCCATTCATTGTGTTAGTTTTCATTTGATCACTTAAGCTCTCCTGGGGAAAACAACAACTAAAAAAGCTCCTTAAAGGGAGAGTAGGTGCTACCAAGGTAGGAGCTTGGCAGAATTACATGGGAGACAGAAACAGGCTTCTAGAGAAGCATAGAAAGAAAGAATTAAGCCACTGCATCTTCAGGCTCTGGACAAGAGCAATCCAGAGAGCTCATACTGTACCCTGGAAGTATCGGGTTGTATTAGTTTATACTGTGGGTCAGCTGGGCTTGAAAATGTCCAAAGTCTTGACAATTAGTGTCACAGACAAGGATCAGCGGGCAGTTATTCTGTCACCTGCTACAGCAGAGTTTTTTCCTACTCTTAAGAAGAACTGGGATTGATTGCTTAGTTCCAGTGGGATTGGTGGTCCTACCATCAGCAAGATGCATCAAGAGAGAAGAGAACAAGTTAGCACACAGGAGAGCAGGCTGGGGACTGAGCTTCCAGCAGGCAAGGAGATATGATACCTAACAGAAATGAGAAGCAACAAAGTTTACTGCAGAGAGAGAAATGAGGATACTGCCCCTCAATATGATTAACTTGTTCGAAGATGGAAGGAACATGCAATTATGGAAAGAAACTGAAATTAAATTAATACTCTTCTACTTGATCATATAGCCAATGCCTGCATTAGCCACAAAGTCGTTATTTGAATCCAGTCAGAATGTGATACAGGAAAGGTAGAAGTGGCAAGGTAGTGCTTCAGTTAGATGATGATATAACACCCCAAAATACAAAACCTTGCCTTATAACAAGAAATGTTTTGTTCACGTGTGTGACCTAACTTGAAATACCGGTTTCTGTGATCACAGCTCCACTGAGTCCTCTGTAAATACTGGAGGTAGCTGCAGCCATGTATACATAGGTACACTGGAAAAAAACAGCTCTGATACTTCACGGCTATGTAAATTGCTGCAGACTATTTTTACAGCATTGCGTAATTATTCTCTGGAGTCTAGGCTTACATTAAAAAAAAAAAAAGTTTCTAGGCAATTTGGGTTATGGTTGCAAAAAACCCTTTCAAGTGGAACTGGAGTGTAAACTGCTGCAGTGATATTTGCCGGTCTAGAGAGAGTTGAAACAATAGCTCCAAGGGAAGTGTGAATGGACCCATTCTTCTAACCGGAGCTCTAAACTGGAAGTCTGCTGACAATTTAAGTGTCAACATCAGCTACTTCAAGGCGGATCATTTTAGCAGAAACACCAGGCTAATGTTCTTATTTGTCATCCTCAATTTGCACTTGTTGGATAGCAGATCCTGGGGCGAAGAGGAAAAGCAGCAACTGGTTGTCAAAGGTTGCCGGGCTGAGGAAAGTTTTCCTGTTCCTCTGCCTCTTTCACCCACGGTCTCCTCTACCCTAGCTCAAAATGGGGAGCAAGGAGGTCGACACTTCCCCAGGCTGGGGAAGTTGTCTTTGGTAGCCAAAAGCTGCAGTGGTCCCCACCAGCCTGCCAGTGACCTCTGCAGTATGGTTCTCTGTTGCCAAAAATGCACAAATTGGTAAGAGATTGGAAAGGAGTGTAAGGGAGGAGAGGAGCAGCCCGAAATATCTCTTGAGGACATTTGCTGTTGTTTTGCTTCATTCTTGTTGGTTCACTGCCTAAAATACAAATGTGACTGTGGTTTTCTCTTGCATAAGACAGCTATTGGAACAGGTTTTCTGTAACATTGTCTACGTGGAGCCCTTGTTGAATTGCTTTTGAAGTTGATCTAGCAGTGACAGATCGCTGTTCCGCACTGGGTCCAGACATGCCCACTTTGTCTAACACACCAGGGACCCTTACGGCATCCTTTATTTATTAAAAATCTCTGATCGTCTTGCATGCACAAGAGGCCAAAGTTATTCGGATGAATTTGACCTTTCTTTACATTGTAAGCCAGCCCTATTAAGAAAGTAAACAGCATTTTAGAAACTATTTCTGCTCTGTTAGCAAAACCAACTCAGTATATGCAAATGTCCCTACACTAGTCCATTGCTGTTTTCAGGCTGAAAGTGACGCTGAGGTGATTGGCATAAGGGTATTAAAGCCCTTGAGACTGACACTTAAAATACTCGGAGGAAATGTCCCATGAAGTGGATGCAAGCTTCTGCCCAAAGTCGAGTTCTGTTTGAGGGTCCTTCAAAGCAGGGGTGTCCTCTGCCAGGTGGACCAGCAGAATAGACTAGAACCACTTCAAAACTATGGAAATATAAGGTGTTTTCAGTGGGACCACAATACGTTATCAAAACAGCACAGCAGAGATCTGGCACCAGAGTCATGGTCACGTCACTGGGGGCATGTTCAGAATGCACCATGCATGATTCCCTGCATGTGTATTTTCAGTTGTTGTCCTTGTACTGTGGGCAATCTGGGGTAGCTCAAAAAATACCTCAGGGAAAGTATCTTCAGAAAGGTAACCTGACTTGCTATTGCTGGCTCTGTCTGTCTTTACACCTGGGCAAAGGCAACAGAAGTGCAGGTTTGTGTCTGGCTGTGGTGGCTGACCCACATCAGAATCAGGACAGGACTGATTCTCCCTGTGAGTAGCATCTTGCTCCCTCCGAGGAGCACACAGCAGGAGGTAGTGTAGCAGCTGTGAAAATGGATTAAATGCTGCTTGAGTTGGTTTGGTAGAAAATCTCAAGATTGATTAAACTGAGTAATTTGCAAGGTGGCAATTTTTGTCTCCTTCCATTCTATTGCCAGTCATTTTGGGGTAGAAGACAAGACAAGGGGCTACACACTTTAGAAATGACATCCACCTTCCCTGGTTCCCACCAGGCTCTTAACAGCTTGGGTTACTTCTGAGCAATGGAGACACAAAAGATTATTGTGGGTTTTAATTGCACGGATTCCCCTACTTTGATGCTGTATTTCTATCTGATCTTCTTTGGCCAAGTACGAGTCTCTGTTAACAGAAGATGATTTTCCTCTGTTGAGTCACAAGGCTTTGGAGACTGCAATGGGTGCTTTGTCAGCCTCAAGTTCCGATGATCTGGGATGGTGCTTGATCCATGTGTCTCCCTGAACTCTGGCTTGTCTGATATTGGGACCATATAAAGCAGCAGAGTCATCATGCAGTTTCCTACCTCTAGTTAGTTGCTTTAGCCTCTCCTGAAGTCATCCATGGATAGCTTGACCTGGCACCAGGGTCACTTCATTTCAGATACTCAGTGCACTTGGGTGTCTGAAGAGGAAACAAGAGGGCCTTTCATGTTTGCTGGCCCATCACTTCTCTGAGCTGGCACTTTGTCACTGTAGATGAACCACTTTCTTAGCTGAGAAGAGTACACATCCTTGACTACTGGGCTCTGGTGACAGTTACCAGGACTCCCTAAGCCAGAAAATGAAAGATGTTATGGTTTCCTCCTCTGCCAAATAGGAAAACAGCACTTCCTTCGGGGTACCTAGGCGTGCCCACCACCGTCTGCTCTCCACTGTGAGGATAGAGCCCAGGTGATGGGAAGTTCACTGCTGGGATGGATGGTCCCAGCTGGGTGATACAGGAGAAAGTTGAAGACCTTTCTTTTACCTTCTGCTCAGAGGACAGTGCCTGATCAGTGCAAAAAGTGCTAAGCTTGTGCAGGATGGTCAGACCTGTTTCTGAGTTCAATGTCTACAAGCAGACTTTTGCAGCATTAGTTCCCGTGTGTAAGACTGTACCTGAAGGCCTGAACCTGTGAGCTGGGGAAGCTGCCTGGGGTGGGTTGCAGGCAGGGTATACTGTGTTGTGTTAGCGCAGGAAAACTTGTGGAAGATGTGTACAGACAGCCTGTTGATTTTTACAAGCAGCTTTCATCTCCCTTCCCCCAGCAGCTCTACAAGTCCATGCTGCAAGTATGTACTACTCCATATGCTATCGATTATGGTCCTGACTGGAAGTTGCTTTCCATCTTGAAGTCTACAAATGTACAAAAAACAGGAGTCCTGGAATCAAGATGTACATTACAGACCTTGGAGAAGGCTTTTGTCCTTCCTTTCGGGGTGGTGGATCAGTGAGAGATTTGTAGACTTTGGACATTTTCATTTTTGCCTTTTAGACCCCACCAATTTAGGCTTAATCCTGATCCTTTTGAAATCAATGGCAAAGTTCCCACTGACTTCAAAAGAGACGGCTTGAGCTCTCAAATACTTTAAAGAACAATTTTAAACAAACAAACCTAAGATGGATAAGAATTGCATTTTCTCTCTCTATTAGGCATGCAACTTATTTTCTCCCAATGTAAACGTTACCTGGAAAGCTAAGCAGTGATGTGGTTTTTATTATTTCTTTAGGAGGCTACAGTACCCAAAGTATATTCCATACATACTTCTTCATTTAGGAGCCAAACATAGCTATGTAAAGTGAGCAGCTTGTTTACAGTAGGCCCTTATGGCTTGCTATCAAATTAGTGGCAAATCAGGACTGTAGTAAACAGAGGTCAAAGATCAAACCCACAATTTCACATAAAATGCCAGACCATGTACACAAAATTTAAAATGCAAAATCTTCAAATCATAAGACCATCAACTGCTTTTAAAACTAATCAAAAACAGGATAAGGACTGGAGGAAATGAAATTTAAACATGATTTTAATCCTAATTTTAATGGAACAGCTACATCATGGATATCTTTTAAACTATGACAGCTGACTCCATGCTACCTATTCTCACTTGCCATTAAACAAGGGTACATCTCACTTGCTATTCATACGTGTTGTTTTGCTGCTTCTTCTCCAATTTGAAATACAGGAGAAGTGTTACCACCTAACACTTTTCAGTGGCTCTGTTCCTGCTAAAGTAGTTTTGCATCATTCCTTTTAAGTGCAGTGATTCTCTGTGTTCAGAATGGGGAATGGCAAGATGCTGTGTGCTCTATTTTGTGCTGGAACAACTGTATTTGAACGCAGTCAGGTCCCTTGGCTGACAGTCCCTTCCTTACCTGGAGGCCAGTGCCCATGAAAGCGTCTTGCAAGAGATCCAGGACCATCCCAGTCCCACACGTGTGCATTAGAATAATTCTCAGTCCAAAGGGGTCCGGGAAGAATCCTGTTTCTGGACCCAGCTAAGGGAAAATAAGAATGCAGACTCCTTAAAACCAAAACTTATTTGTTTAATGAAGATTTGGTTACGGAATGCCACCAGATGTCAGCATACACTATATGATTAAAAGCAAGTGTCTAAGACCTCTGAGAGCGAGCAGTGATAAAATTGACTTTTGTCACATGGAAATGATGTACCAGATCAGCTTTGCTGTGGGAAAAATTATGGCAGGGATTAGCTGGAAGAAATTGCCTGTGAGGTTTGCTCGAATATCTGCTTAATTCTTCCATCCTTGGGGGGTGCCCATCTGCTTTCCCTTCACTCCTCCCCATCTGCAAGCCCATGAGAGGCCTGGATCAACCCTGTCTCCAGCCTACACCTTCCTGGGGTTTCTCAGCACAGGTCCAAAGATCTGCATCTTCCAGGATGGAAGCCAGGGCAAGAGGAGGAACTTGCTAGGGATCCAGAGACCTGTTTTTCATACATGTAGTTAGGGAAGATACACCTCCACCCCACATACTGCAGCAGTATCTGCTCTGGCTGTGTAGGAATACGAGAATTCACTGAGGAGGTGGGCAGAGAGAGCAGCTAGTGACGGCTTAGGGAAAAAAATATGAGTAGCAGGAAAAGTGTGGTGTGATTTATTTTTTTCCTGATTTACCCTTTCCCACTCTGGCTAATACCAGAAAGCCAATGCTCTTCTTTGGATCATCCAGTTGAATACCTGCTCAGAACAAGTTTTAGACTATAATCTATGTATAAGAGAGCTCTATTTTC